GTTAGTGATCGGGATGGCTCCGTAGCCATCGTTGTTCGTTCGGCACCGGGTTACACTCCCCCCTCCTTGGTAGAAAGGGGCCCCGGGTTCGTGGTGGCCGTCTGGGAGGGTATCGCCTTGGTCGGTGTTTACTTCTCTCCAAACAGACCGCTGGTCGACTTTGAGGCGTACCTCGTGGCGATCGGAGGCGCAGTTCGGCGTGCAGCACCGCACCAGGTTCTCCTCATGGGGACCTAAACGCTAAATCTGTGGTGTGGGGCAATCCTTCCACTAATGTTCGTGGTGAGGCCGTGGAGCTTTGGGCCGCCGCCTCTGGTCTCTCCCTTCTCAATAGGGGGAGCGTCCATACCTGTGTGCGCCGTCTAGGTGGGTCTATTGTGGACGTTTCGTTTGCGTCATCCGCACTAGCGCGAAGGATCCAGGATTGGCGGGTGTTGACGCGGGTGGAGAGTCTCTCGGATCATAGGTACATCCGATTTGAGATTCCCACGCAGCGCTCCCCGCCCCCGCAGGTCCCGCAGAGAGACCGTCCCCCACGTTGGGCGTTGAACCGCCTTGACCGAGAGATGGTGGAGGAGGCGGCCATAGTACAGAGGTGGTGGTTGCCACCGATGAACGGCCACAACGTCGAGGAGGGAGCTACCCACATCCGGGAGGCCCTCACGGAGGTGTGCGAGGCTTCCATGCCTCGATCGCGCCCTCCGAAGGACCGTCGGGCGGTTTACTGGTGGTCCCAGGATCTGGCGAACCTAAGGACGGCCTGCACTGTGGCTCGTCGCTCCTACACACGATATCGAAGGCGGCGTGTTCGGGACCCGCAGGTAGAGGAGGATCTGTACGGCCAATACAGGGAGGCAAAGATAGCCTTACAAGTGGCCATCTCTCGCTCAAAAGAAGTAGCGAGGGAAGAGATGTTGCAGGGTCTCAACCAAGACCCATGGGGGCGCCCTTACAAAACTGCCCGCAATCAGTTGCGTGCGCGTGGTGCCCCCTTGACCGAGACCATGGACCCCGGACTTTTGTGTACAGTGGTCCGGAAACTCTTTCCTGCGCCTGAAGGCCACTCTTCGCCATACATGGCTCCACCGCCTGTAGCGAACGTGGCGTCCTTTGAGGGTGACCCTCCTCCCATCGACGAGGAAGAGTATAGGACTGCGATCGCGCGGTTGAAAGGGAAGCGGACTGCTCCCGGTCCTGACGGAGTCCCGGGTAAAGTCCTGGGGCTCTCCTTGCGCCACTTTGGGGATCGCCTCCGGGAACTGTTTGATGCATGTCTTCGCACCGGGCAGTTCCCGAAGGTTTGGAAGGACGGTTTGTTGTGTCTACTGCGCAAGGAGAACCGGCCCGCCGACGACCCGTCGGGCTATCGTCCAATTGTGCTGCTGGATGAGGTCGGCAAGGTGTTTGAAAGGGTTGTCGCCTCCCGCCTTATCCAGCATCTCACCGTGGTTGGCCCAAATTTATCCCAAAATCAATTTGGGTTTCGTGTGGGACGCTCCACCATGGACGCGCTCATGGGTCTGAGGGAGCTAGTGGAGGATGCTACTTCCAGGAGGGAAACAGTGTTGGCGGTGTCATTAGATATCGCCAACGCTTTCAACAGCCTTCCCTTTCGCACTATTCTGGAGGCGCTCCGATATCACGGGGTGCCCAATACCTGCTGCGGGTTCTTAGTAGCTACCTGGAGGGTCGGGATATTATGTTCACTGGCCAGAGTGGTGTGGCCAATCGCCATCCCATGTCCCGCGGCGTTCCTCAGGGTTCTGTTTTAGGACCCCTTCTATGGAACGTCGGCTACGATTGGGTTCTGCGCGCCGCCCTCCCCACGCGACTGAAAGTGTTTTGCTACGCTGACGACACACTCGTCACTGCGAGAGGGAGGGACTTGGAGGAGACCCTAAGGCTAGCCTCAATTTACACCACTCTGGTCGTGCGACGAATTGAGGCGCTAGGCTTGAATGTGGCCCTGCATAAGACCGAGGCGCTTCTATTTCACGGGCCTCGCAGGGGAGCACCACCAGGCCAAGAGATAATAGTGGCCGGTGTCAACGTGCCTTTGAAGCGACACATCAAGTATTTGGGATTGGTAATAGACGGCAGGTGGGGGTTCGACGAGCACTTTCGCCGTCTTGAACCCCGCCTGCTTCGTGCTGCCGATGCGCTCGGGCGTCTTCTCCCGAACGTTGGGGGCCCAAGCGTAACAGTCCGGTGACTCTACGCGAATATAGTACGCAGCATGACGCTTTACGGCGCCCCGGTGTGGGCAGACGCTCTCAGCCCACGCGCCGTTGCGTCCCTTCATAGGGCACAACGCGCCATGGCTTTGAGAGCTATAAGAGCGTATAGATCGGTGTCCCACACCGCAGCATGCATAATTGCAGGCACTCCCCCGTGGGAAATTTCAGCCCACGTTCTGGCGGCTGCCTACCGCGTCAGAATAGACGCGCATCATGATGACCGGCGCCTGGCGCCGAGGGAGAGGGCCTCTGCTTTGGAAGAGGCGCAAATCGAGGCGTGGTTCGAGGAGCTCGAAGAGCAAAGGGGTTCGGCCTCGGTCTCTGGCACGTTGTCCAGGACCTTGGAGGCCATGCACCCCTTTCTCACCACGTGGGCGGACCGGCGCCACGGGTCGCTCTCCTACCACTTGGTGCAAATTCTTAGCGGTCATGGTTCCTTTGGCCGCTACTTGCACCGCATTGGTAGGGAGCCGACCCCCGAGTGCCACCATTGTAACGCGGCTGAGGATACGGCACAGCACACGTTGGAGCTGTGCCCAGGCTTCTCCCAGCGACGGCAACAGTTAACCGCCATCATAGGCGATGATCTCTCCCTCCAAAACGTGGTCTGCATCATGTTGGAGGGGGAGGAAATGTGGGACGTGGTGAACTCCTTCTGTGTCGACGTTATGACGCAGAAGGAGGACGCGGAGAGGGCCCGGGAAGAAGACACAGAGGCCGCTCCTTGCCGCCGACGAAGGATGGGGCGGAGAAGGCGGATGTATGCCCGCCTACTTCCTCCTGACGGTAACCAGCGGGGTCCAGGCCCGGGAAGCCCGGGCCCTGCATTGCACCGGTTGCCGCCAGTCGCTGATCCCCTGGATGCCCCGGGGGATCACCGGCCCTCCCACATTGCGGGGGTGAGTGGGGCTCGCCATAGGCGAGCAGACGCCGACGAGGTCGTGGATGTGTTCTCGCGAGTTCCCATGACCTTGTCCGGCAGCGACGCGTCCCTCCCCGGCGTGTCCTCTTCGTCAGAAGACGATGAGGATGCGGCGGTGATGGACGTGCTCGCGCCAAGGCGTATGTGAGGGGCATCGATGGGTTTTAGTCGGTAGGTCGCGGAGGCACCTTCTGGAGGGCATTCTGTCTGCCCCCAGAAGCCGCGGAGAGTCCGACATAACCCCGCGTACCCCAAAGCGCGGAGTATGCGTAAAGCATTTCCCATCGTTAAAAAAAAAAAAAAAAAAAAAAAGGGTAACGGATAAAATAAATACACTGTACATATATTTTTATAGAAATCAATTTATTTAAATTAGTTATTTAGTACTGAAATCGACAAATTTTACTACTGACTAATAAACTACAGACAAATTTAGTTTTTAGGTTTATTAAATTTAAGATAGTTAAAGGAAAGTGGATTTTTCGCTGGAATTAGAGCGCCCGTTTGGGAATGCAATGCAACCTTACGTTCTTTAAGGCGAATATTTCAATATCGTTTATTCAGTCTAGACTGTTACAAGCAATTGTCGAAAAGCTACGCCATCGGTTCGCAAATCTATTACTGAGAAGAACCGGCAAGAAACTCAGCAAGGGCTGTTTTTTTCTTCCTGTATTATATACAGAGTCGTTAAATTGAAAAATAACTTCAACATGAGACAATTTATGAAGTCTCTTTCCATTACAAATGTAAATTATATAAAAATTATGACTATAAAAAAAACTATGAATAACTGATTTAACAAAGTTTAGGAATGCCATGTCTTACTGTTTAAGCATAAAAAATGCACGATTAAAGTTAAATACAACGATTAATAGAACCCAATGTAGCAAGAGCAGACTCATCTCCGCTGGCAGCACCCGTTCACGAGCATTACGCATGAACCAGCCATCGCTTCGCTCCACCATATTTTAGGGAACGCAACGACCCGCCTCACACGACACCGCCGAAGAGATATTTAAGAGAGCATGACTACCCATAACCAATCAAACAAAACTGCAAAATATTCACTTATAGTTAAGGTAATTTATCTGTATGACACTGCAAACAATTACAAAACAAAGGTGCAGTTAGAACCATGCAGTTTTGTCTTTTAAATATTCTTTAATAGTATAATAACCTTTCTTAAGTAAACAACTTTAATTGTGCCTTTTGAACTCATTAATGGGGAACTCGAGAATAGCATCAGGAATTATATTATCAAAATGTATACCTTGACCCATAAAAGACCGGTAAACGTTCTGTAACCTGTAGGGTGGTAATGTAAGCTTGTTTCTATTCTTTGTGTTAAAATTGTGCACGTTACTATGTTTGGTATACAAATTGATAGTAATTTTAACGAGGAGTATGCAATTGTAATAATTGTAAATGAATTGAGAAGCAAACAGTCAAAATCCCAATTTCTTTTTTTTCTCTCAGAGATGTTCAGCTACTCAATTGATAAATAGATCACACAGTTCTCATTTGAAGAATGAATATACTTTCAATATCAGCTGCTGTTCCTGAGAGTATAATGTCGTATGATAAGGTAATATTATAACAGTTAAATAGTTAATTAAGTTTTATGCCGCTTTTTAACGTACACAAAATCGACACGTTTGCGTGCACATTAAGCTGGTTTTCATTCATACGCAATGCTTAGAGCATATAATATGTAATTATGAAATCTAGTTAATTGCGGATTTATATACATAATTCATCACAGTTTCATTGTCCGAACTTCTTTGTTTTTTATTGACCAGACAGTAGTATGTTAGTAATAATTATATATTTTTTAGACTTACTTAGCACCACCATCAACAGCTGCCTGCACAGGCCGCGAACCCTGGACACGTGTTGTAACACCGTCATGCTCACTTCACTCTACACTCACACTTAATTCAAATTCAATTTAATATCTACAATTTATATAAAATACTTATAGTTCTACTATTATTCAAGTCACTGTACAGTTTCGTGGCTAACACTTTCAAATGACCGGCACTTGAGGGGGTTGATGCCATAAATGATGGAATGATGAACACCATGCAGACCGCTTTGTTTCACTTAATGTGAACTAATTACGTTACTCTACTGGTGGGTAGTCAAACTCGGTTGAATTGGTGGTTTGAAATCAGAAACCTTTCAACTATTTTACAATTACCTGGAAATGCCTCAGGTAATTCTCACCAAAAAACAAAAGGTTATTTATGTCTTCATTTAATTCTGTCAAATGCTTAAGATTTATATAACACAGAGCACAGGTGAGATGCGGTGCCAATAAAGATTTGAAGTGTAGTGTGATCGCGAGATTCTCGCCAGTTAACTTTATTCACACGCCGGTGACGTCACACGCACGCCGCCGGCGCGCGCGCAAGTGATCTTTACTACTCAAGGAAACAAGCAAAAAATTATACTAAATTAAACTATATGGAAACAGTAGGTTCGAAATAACTCGTTTTATTCATAATAATGATGCCGAAAAATGGAATAATTTATTCAAATGTAGATTCTGGAGCGGAGAATCTTTAACTGTCATAAATAGAGATGTACGGAAAAAAAATGTTCCAAATGTCAAAAGGCACATAAAGGACATTTAGTAGAATAATTAAGGAAGAGAAATGGATGGGTCAAGAACGTAGCAAGAGGTCAATCACTCTAGGAAGATTGCTTGACATTATGTATGTACTTATATGGCTAATTATGATCGTGAAACTTGGTCGGGGTAATATAACATTACGGTTGCGCAGACGCAGTGATAAGCGCAGCCAATCACTGAGGTTTAATTTAATTTGTTTCTTCTTTGTTTACACACTACAATTATTTATTATTTATAAAATGTTGTAATAACAGGGTACGCTTTGTGGCAATATAATGTCTTATCTAAGCATAACAATACCTGAAAATTGGGCCATCATTCGGTGTGGTAAGGTACAGTAGAAAGCATGAAATGTTTAATTTATAAATTGAAGAAATTAATCATCTTTTACAAGACCGGTCATAGGATGGTTCACATTATATTTTTTTAATGAAACTGCTTGATGTTTATCTCTAAAACACATTTTATTAGAATAAATATACCAGGGCAGAGTTGAAGTTTTTGTAAATAATTTATTTTAAATACAAAAATGTATGACTTCGAGTTCCCCGTACTTTAGAAAGCAATTGCCAGCCTTAACCCAATTCCCATTGCCGTGGAGCCTGGAACCTTACTCATAAACAGAAACACAGCATCAGGTCAATGAACCGCATAAGTCCGTTCGGGAAAATGACCTCCACCTTACAGATGACTTAAATTATCGCAAGGTCGCAACACGAGCTTATGACCCGCCTTAAAGAAAAAAACAAACTTTTTGGAACCCTTTCTTTAAAATAAAGTAACTAAATATAATAAAATCAATTTATCATCTCCCTTTCTATAGTGTCAAGAATTCAACAGCTTGAATGGCTTAAAACTTAAAGTTATAACGATAATGAATTATTTTGGAAGACGATGTAGATTTATTGTTTTGGATTCCATTTCCACTAATAAATATATTCATTTTACACAACCTCTCCACACACACACACATATTCACTATACTCACCAAGAGAGGTTTCTTTTTTTTTATAGATAGGTCCGACAAATGTCCGACCCCACCTGATGTTAAGTGACGGTGAAGTCCAGACGCGAAGATAGCTGATACAGCAGTTCTACCTGCCACACCAGCCGTCCTCACTCTGCCGGCCTGCATGTTGCTTCTTCACGCCTCTTTTAAAGGATCCCAGGTTGTAAGAAGGAAGGAACACGTGAGCGGGCAGAGCATTCCATTTACGGATAGTGCGACAAAGAAATGAGTCACCAAATTTCTGTGTACGCATTGGAATATTTGGGTTTCACTCGCTACACTTAATATTAATTATTTTGTTACTTTTTTGGAAAATATGTCTGTATGCATTGAGAACATCTGAAACAGCTTGTATTTTTTTTATAAAGATCGCTGCACCTGACATACAGGTCTCCTAGTTCAGGTGCAGATGTATTTTTATGTAGTTGGATAAATGTTCTATTATTGTAAGATGTTATAAAATATTACAAAAAGGATTTACAAGTTTTCATATTCAAGAAACAAATCAAAAGCAACATGGCAAATATTAAACTAAAACTACACTAACACTAGACAAAAATTAAAAATATTAAAAAAAAATAGCTGCCCTAAGTCTTCTTTTCCTAAAAATATATTAAGTATAAGTTTCAAAATTCAAAAAATTCAAAAATTCAAAATTCAATATAGTTTATTCAGTCTAGGCTGTTACAAGCACTTGTGAATGTCGAAAAGCTACGCCATCGGTTCGCAAATCTACGGCGGGAGACCTTGTACTGAGAAGAACCGGCAAGAAACACAGCAAGGGCTGCTTTTTTCTCCCTGTTTTATTTCATACAGTGTCGTCCAATTGTAAGTTGACATCAAACTTGCAAACATGTGTTGAGGTCAACTTCCATCACATAATGTAAAAATTTGCTGTTCTACAGTATCTCACCCACGTTGCTTACCCTGGCAGAATCCATTTCCTAAATTCCCCTTAAGGATCTGAACATTTGAACGCTTGGCTCTAGCACCATGCGTTACGTGCGTTCCTTTTTCTTTTTCCGAACGAATTTCCCTCAACAATTTTCCCTCTAGCTATGATATGAAGATCTCCAAAAGGCTATTCTTTCAGAGCCGGTAATGCATGAGTGGTACCTACTCTTGGTGCTGCAAGCGCCCATGGGCAGGAGTGACCACTTACCATCAGGTGGACTGCCACCTCGTTTGCCTGCATAAACATAAAAAATAGCTCTAGCAATCTTACCCATTACAAGAATATAAAACTACACAATACTATTATTTTTATGACGATGACGAATTCAATCCAAATTCACGAGATATTTGTTGATTTTCCTTAGTTTTAGGGAAAACTTTGAGGCGACATAATCTCCGTTACTTCACCATTCACCCATTTCCTTAGTCAAGGAGCAGCAAAACAACAAATGGAAAACCTAATTATTCATGTCATCAATTTCATTACATTATCAACATGCATAAGGCGAGATGGCGCGTGTTCTATTAAACATTATCCTTATATCGGCGATTCGCTGCATAACAATTACAAGAAAATCAGCACTCCCGAAGAATGTTTGTTTTATGTATTTTTTAAAGCTTTTACTTCTACTGTTCGTGTTTAAGTTGTCCACTTAAAAAATTCAACCACATTTTGACCACTTCTTGTTTTCCAATTTCAGCTGAAATTTAGCATGATTATGCAAGTCTGGCGACTTATCAATAATATGGCATCACGCAGCTGGCCTGATGATGGGATCGGACAGGGTCTCAATGAAAATAATACAATATCCCAACGATGTTGGGCTCGTTTGATATCCTGCAGTTGAATAGTGCAGACAAGGTCTTATATTTCCATTCTGATCGTATTAAAATGCGTATCGATTTTTTCTCGAGCCGTAATTAGTGTTTAAAAAAGTTAAGTATGTAATATATATTTATATATAAAGGCTATTATTATTATCATATACTATTCGTGTATCAGGGCCATGATGGCCAACGATATTCATATGACACGGCAATATGGCACGTGAACTTAAACTCGCAAACATTGAACCAACTCAACGTACTCGAATCAAAAACCAGTTCAAGTTGGACTTTCATTCATCCGGCAATTCTGTGATAGACATTATGTTAATTAATGAATAATGTTGATGGAAGCAGTTTGGGTAGTGAGCGATTAAAAGTTGAGTGAATCAGAACGCGTCTCGTGATTAAAATAATTTTTCGATCTTTTTTCTTCCGGTGTCACGGTGACAATCAGCCCGGCTGATTGACAGTCACAGTGACACCAGGAGTATCACGCACGTGAAGTCTTCTTCACCATTCTTTTGAGGAAACTCATGCTGGAATCCTTTCCGAAATAACAGAGATCTCAATCTACAGCGTCGTACGCGGGAATTATGAATTATTAAAAAACCTTATGAAAACCGACTTCATAAATCAAAATTAACATTTGGATGAGTCGATGCCAAGTATATTGATAGATCTGAGTTACCATTTACAGATTTCTTTTACATATTAATTTGGCTTTAAATTTAGATATAAGTAAACTACGTATTTCTCGTCGAATCTGATATCAAACTGTATCTATGAAATAATACAGTGAGAAAAAAGCAGCCCTTGCTGAGTTTCTCGCCGGTTCTTTTCAGTACAAGGTTGTGGCTTGCTAACCGATGGCCGATGGGAGACCTTTCTGAGAAGAAACGGCGAAACAAACTCAGAGAGGCTTTCTATCTCCTTCTTATGTATAGGTCTCCCAATTTTGGAACCGGTGGTAGTTTACGATAGTAAGGGTCAAATAAATAAACTCATAATTACAAAAAAGAATTTTTAGAAAGTACTTTATTAACTAAATTCACTAATAAATTATTTTTTATTTATTTTTTTATTTTATTTTATTAGGGATAACAAACAGTTGTACAATATATGTTAAGTGAAAGGCTTACAATTATGTTATACTTATTGTACAACCAACAACATTATCCACAGATTAATACTAGGATTGTTTTGTTTTATATATATTTCTATTATTCTTTTTCTATACTAAATGAAAAATATGTTGTACACTACACAAATAAGTATCCAGTAGAAACAAAAAGCTTGTCGAGGCGTACCAAGGTAATACACATATTATGATAAAAGATCATATACTTTGGTCTTGAAAGAAGTGTCTGAGAGCAGGAAAATGTCAATATCACGTGAGCTCAAACTTTCATTAAAGATGTTCATTATTCTGTTCAACGGGGCACGCAGACCAGCGTTAGTATTGACATAACCGGGGCAGAATAGTTTATGTGGGTAAGCGTCACGGATACGGTGTGAACTGCTAGGTATTCTAAATGTAACATTGTCAATCAAATCATTACAGTCGTAATTATTATGTAATATATTATACAAGCAGGATATATCAAAAAGCGTCCTCCGCAACTCCAGTTTTGGTATCGAAAACTTCTGCAAAAGATGGTCATATGATTGTTTAGATCGCGAGCATTTATAATTAATACGCTTGAGATATTTGCGTTGCACTGATTCTAAGTTGTTTTTATACTTGTTATAAAATGGGTTCCAAACGACTGTAGCGTATTCAAGCTGTGACCTAACCAAGGCTTTAAAAAGGTAAATGTAGGTATCCGGTTTCTTAAACTGTTGACAAGTACGCATTATGAAGCCATACATTTGATATGCTTTGGATATGACGTGATTTATGTGGTCATGCAAATGTAACTCA